ATCCCAAGCTTTGTTGAGTGGTGCAGGATTTTGTCCATCCACAGTATGAAGGTCAATTTGGGGATCCCTTGGGGTAAATGACAATTCGTGCGAAACTTGCAGATGCTTCGTTCAAAAAACAAAGCGCCTTTTTTTGAGCTGAGATTCCTAACTCCCGACAGAAACACTTGTCACTTTCAAGGGCACTCCCACAGAAAACGGCCTTGCCTTTTAGTCCCTGACAAGCGCGTTGTGCGCTCAAAACAAGCCAGGATTGATTCTTGCCGTGGACAAGCAAAACAATCCGTTATGCCTCACCGAATCAAAGTGAATCCAGGCTCAATCCGACAAAATGAAACCTTTCCAGGATGGGGTTCTGGCTCGATGTGTGGGGATTCCTTGGGTGAGTTCCGTTCGGTTGAGGCTCCACCCCATCCCTGGATTCCGCGGCCCGCTCAAGCTCAAAAAGATGCACGAGCAGCGCCCGAACCCATTGACTTTGGGTGTTATCAGGGCTTTAAAGATATATGTATGTATATGTGGTGTGTGTATATGTATATGTATCATGATTACACAAAATAATATATAAAAAACAAAACAAAAAACAAGGTGAAGCACCTGAATTGCTTGGAGGGGTTTTTGGGCGCGGCTCATGTGGAAAAATATTCGCTTTCGCGCTGGCGGGTGGCAACCCCATCGGCATACTGCGGTTTGGCAGAGGTAAAGAGACCATCATCTTCGGCATCCTTCCAGTTTTGTGCTAGACCGAGCCAGTCGCATAAGGGGGCTCTCCGCTTGCCCTGCCTAAAACCTATCGCTTGAGTGCCACGCAGGTGCGATTGCCTGAACGAGCCAAGTAGCAAGGACCGCATTTTGGTTGCCCCCCAAAGGATTTATGTCCAGAGGATTTATGGCTCCAGAAAGCGATGCACCCTTCGGAAGGCCGCAAGGTGCAACCTTGAGCGGTCCTCTCCCACAACAAAGGGGAGCTGTGCAGACGATCTACCTTGAGCTGAAGCTCCTCTCCCACTACAAACGGAAGTTCCCCGGTGGCGACCTGCAACTACCTGAGCGATTGGCGAATCAAGCCCGGCATTGCTGCGTGTCACTCACCGGTGACAAGCACCAAATCATCAAATTGCCTACAGCGCCGGTGACACACCATCTGTTGAAACACATCCAAGCCACAGATTCAACAACCTCCTGGAGTCCATTTGGAGACCGCGGTCTTCAAAAGGACGCGTTCTGCTGATTGCCGTTTTGCGCAATTGCAGAAACCCATCCGAGGCGACGTGCTTCGGGTCTCACAAACACTCGCCCGCTGTACAAAGGCAGACCCTTGCGTACTCAACCACATGGGACCTCTAAAGGTGTTTCTGACCTGGGCTGATTTTCACTGTGCTTTCGCACAAAAGACGGCTCCTCAAAATTGTCGTACTGTTCTCTGACCGAGCCCTTGTCAGTGTGTCCTTCATCTTCGGGACCACGTTCGAAGGGCTGCAAAGCTTCCGTGTTCCGTTGCATCAGCTCAAGGTCGGACCTTACCTATTCATCTTGTCGGGGATCACAGGCTCAAGCCTCAACCACCTTCCGGGTTTCCCGGAATCACAAGGATGTGGTCTTCTTGGGGTTCCTGCAAAACTGTTCATAAGGTCTCTACTGCCCTATGGGTTGCACTCATTCCCAAGATATCCCAAATGCAGTGATCCCAACTCGGGTTCAGAACAATCACTCTGGCTTAGCATTCATCTGTCACCTGAAATTAGGCATCCCCAAGTAAAGGGTCCTATGACTAATGACCTGAATTCCTTTGAAAGGGTCCAGCAAGGCTTCCCTATGCTGCGTAAATGTGGCACACTCCATCAGGTTCTTTGATTTATTAGATGGGGCACGCTAATCCCAAATTAAAAAAGAGGAAACGGCTTCGAACTTCCCTACAAAATCCGCAAACGGGTACTGCAAGCGCCAGGCTTCCGACACCACCTGCCGACATAAGGGAGCCCGTGAATACTGGGATTTCTTGCGCAAAGGTCCAACATCGCAATCAAAATATGGTATCTGGGCAAAACGAAAAAGGCTTCGCTCAAATGAACTCCACTTTGAACTATATAACCCTACTCCCATCCATTCTATGTCCCATGTGGGAAGCTTGCCGGTGGACGCGCCTCCGCACAGTCTAAGCGTCACCCAGTATATTCGCCTCTACACAGTCTAAGCTCACCCGCCATTGGTCGAAACTCGCTTGGAGAAGAACAAGAAAGAAGTTATCAAGAACACGAACCAACCAACTCATGGCTAAAAATGGGTGACGCCGCCAAGCACGGTTTGTCCATTCCTTCGTGAAACACAGCCCTTGAAAATGCAGGGCGCCGCACTTTTCAGGGGGTCGTTTTTCTCCAATTCTCGGAGCCAAACGAGTTTGCTCCAAAGTCCACGTCGAATCCGCTGAGATCACTCCACACCCGAAGACAGGGGTCCTCTTTTTTTTGGGGAGGTTTGTCGCATCGAGGGTTCCTTCAGTGTTGCAGGGGAGAAAAACAAACAAGAGTAGATGGGTGTCGTTTTGTTTTTTTATGTGGATCTCCAAATGGTGGCTTTCCTTGTGATTTCCATTTAAAACCAACCAAAAGGGGGTGCCAACTAAACACATACGAGCCACCCAGCTGTGTCAGTTTTCGTTTGGGAGGTTCGCGGATTCCGAAGTCGACATTCACTTGGCCACACTCGAGTGATTTTCAGGTTGGACCCCCTGTTGTTCATCGGGGGATCCGAACCGTACCAATCTAAGAAACCTGCAGGAAATCTGGAAAACAAGGGTTTTAGTAGCTCGACCGATTTCCCGTAGACTCTAGCCGCAGGTTTCAAGCAAAGGTGGTTGTTCAAAGCAAACCTGAAGAGTCCGCCTGCCGGGTATACCGTGACTAGTCAAAGGCTCACGCTCAGCGGGGGCATCGCCAGGTTGGCCGGGTGAATTTTGAGTGGGCGCTCGCTCAGGCGCGTGGGGATTGTGGCCCCCCATAAGAATTCCGCAAGGCGATGCATGGTCGCTGGGCCTTTGTGCGCCGAACCGGAAATCACCAACCCCCGAACTGAAAAAAAAACACAAATGCATGCCCTGGCTAAGCATCATTTTCCATTTGGGGTTCTTGAGATGGGGGAGCGCAAGACTGGAGGCGTTGCTTTTGGTTTTCCCTTAAGCTCAACAAAGAGAGAGGGTGTCTAAAGAGAACCCTTCCCATTGGCAAGAGCCCTGCAAATGGAAAATACGAAGAAAAGGCCCGCGGGCCACTGACCACGAAGCAAAAAGCGGGGCCGGGCAATACCAACTAACCGAGAAAACCACAAACTCAACACCTACCTTCGTCCCCCTGGAAAAACAAAGAAGCCTTTCCAGTCACAGAGTCCCTTTTGAAAACCAACATGGAACTTGAGCAAGGCGGGAACGAGCATCGTGCAAAGCCTTCACTTTGGTGATGGGCTGCTGCTTCGCTATCACGAGCATGTGAAACGGCCTGTTACTTGGCGCAATTTGAAAGGCCTCCTGCCGAAATGCACTTTGCCATCCCCCTAACAAACCCTACCTTGGCCCGAGCCTGCTGCGCATCCTGTTGCTGCAAAGCGTAGCTGGGAGGCTGGGATGCGATGTCAGACGCCTGCTGCACCGCCGCAGCAGGCGTAATGAGTGCGGCCGCAGGCATGTTCGTTGTTGGGTCAATCTATACCCTTCCAAGACACACTGGCCTCGCACCTTGGAGCGGAGCGCGGCTTTCGTTGATGGAGCAGTGATCGAGGCCCCTGAAGCGCACTACCCACAAAAGCACCACCATTTCGTTGGAATGGGCCATTGGTTGCTGCCCTTGGCTGGCGCGAATCTTGACCTGCGCTGCGCAGCCAGAGGCGCGCCAAGGTTGGTTCATCTAGCATTGTACGATCTTCAGATCAGTTGCCGCCGTACGTAGCAGAAAGGATGAGCGTCAATTTCGTCCTCAGCGAGATAGACATCGTGTGTGTACCTTCTGTCACAATTTCGCAGAAGAGGCGCGGCCCTAACAGCATAGCAGCGGTTTTGGTGGCTCTTCGGCGTCACACCTTGGTTGACGATGAAAAAAAACACTAGAGGAGTGCCCACTCATCATTGCGTTGGGCCAAGTCGACGCGTCATTCGTGATCGCAAGCAGCTGACGCCTGCCCGGAGCCTGCAACCTTGGAAACACGTTGAAGACAAGTCGATCAACAGGCGATGGTTTCTCTTGAACGAAACCGCAGCACGAGGCGTGGCTATTTCTGGAACGACACCGCAGCACGAGGCGCGGCTATTGCGCAGCAGGTCACCAGGCCCCGCAGCGACAAAGATTGGAAGCTTGCGCCGCAGCTTCAAAAGCGCGGTGGTAGGGTGTAATATCAGGTACAGTAGGCCTTGCCGCAGGCTGTGCGTTGATGTAAAAAGCATGTATGCCGATTGCAGGATTTGTGCGGCCACCCCAACTTCAAAAGGAGAGGAAGCGAACAGTGAATCGCACAGGAAACTCACCGTTGTCTGAAGGTAGGTCTAATTATGATTAAGTGGTAGTAGGCCACGGCCGTCACCTAAAATGCCTTCTGCGTCTGAAATCACTTCGGATACATCAAGTTGCTCTGGGCACGCTGGATGGAAAATAATAAGGGCTGTCGTCGGGGGGGGGGGGGGCCTTGATGTCCCCGCACCAAGCCTACCAGGTAGCTTGTTGAAGCCGGTGCCTATATGATGAGACGCCGCGCCTCCAGGCTGCAGGTTGTGAGGATGATCCGGGTCCGGACACTTCCTGTAAACTTGCTGCAAAGCATGTTGGACTGCGGCCTGGCCGCTGATCTGCGGGCGTTGCGTCAACCGAAACTGTTTTGGCCGGGATGAGAGCGAGGTAGGTGTTTGAAAACAGAAGTCAGACGCGGTTGCTGGCGCAAAACCTCCTCAACGGCCGGCTTGACGTGCATGTAAAAAAGTTCGGGCTTGAACTCTTCGAGCACGGTGCGCCCGCCGACATTCAACAACCTGATGTCGTCCCGCGGATCTGTCGCGCGGTCAGGTCCAAAAAATGTCGCCTCAAGCTGCTTCCTGGGCCAAATGCCAAACCACTTTCGCAGTCTTGGAAGTAGTTCCTACCTCCATGGATGCTGCCAAACATCGTACAATGTTGGCTATATATTTATCAAGTTCAACTCAAAGCAGAATTGAGTTTCATAGAAATGCAATGGTCATGATCCAACCAAGGTCTATCGTAGATTAGTAGGTAACCATATGCGTTCTATTTCAAACTGACTTTTTGCACAGGAGTTCCTATTCAATATAATTCTACCTTGAAAACAATCTAACAACATAATTAAATGAAAATGAGCTCAGCGCAATCGAGGCAAGTGCAAACAACTGGGAACGGCCAGGTGAACACACGACTGTTGGACCTCTGAAGCGTTTCCTTGTTAAACTATATTCAATGTATTGATCTAGAATTTAGAAAGAAAAGGTGTTGCAAGTTGATCGTTCTGTTGTAGTTCTGTTGGGTTTGCGCTCTCAGTGTCCTGATTTGCTCTCTCGACGCCGCCTTGTGATGTGAGATGTACGTTGGCGAGAACCTCACTTGCATGTGTCCTGCCCTGTGTGCGGTAGTCTTCTTGATCGATCTGTAAGACGGCATGTGAACTACCGTTGCTTGTCTCTGATGAGCACTGCCATCATCATGCCTGTCTGTGTGTTGATTGCTGTTAGAACCGGAGTTGTTTGGTACGCCGGGTCGTTCTCCAGGATGAAGAAGTCCTGTCATGGTAGAACGTGTACTCGCTTCCAAAGCAAGTCCAGCAGCCCGATGTTGGGACCATGCGGTGTGGTTGTGGAATTCCTTGCGCTCGTGGGGTTGTTGATCTCATCTTCCTGTTGCGGTTGTTGACTGCGCCGCCGCTTGCTGTTGCTTGGCCGCCATTTGTTGCTGCTGGGCCGCCGACTGCTGGTGCTGCTTCTTGATCCGGAAGACTGTCTCAAATTTCCACGAATGTGGATGTGTTCTGTGTTGCTGGTTGCTTTCTAGTGTCTGATACTGTTCTTCGCTTGCGTACGTTGCGCTATCATGACTCTTTGCTGCGGTTCGCCGCTCGTTCTCCATTGGCGCTAGTCATTGTCCGCTGCTTGCTGTTGCTTGTGTCATTGTATGGGGCCGTGCACATGCTGTTGCTGCTCTGCGGTATTCCAAGGTCAGTGACCTGATCTGCGCGTACGTCGTGATTGATCCTGCTTGTGGTTGTAGTGTTGCTGGTCCCTTTTTTCGTTGAGCAGTACGGCGATTTTGACATTGTCCGGCAGTTTTGCGTCGTTGTCCCTCTCGTAGCGTGTGACCTCAAACTCCCACGTATTGTGGCTTGAGAAGCTTTGTAAGGTACCTGATGCTCTGTGTACCTATTGGCATCGAGAACCGGATGTAGAGTTGTCTCTAGATCTCGAACCCAGTGCTTGTTGCATGTTGTCTGCAGGTTGTTGCTGCAGTGTCGTCGCAAGTGTTGACGAGGATGTAGTTGAGATCGCTCCCAAGTTGCTTCCAGTGTCCTGCTGTGGCTGTGGCTGTGCTGCTGTTTCGAGGTCATGTTTGTCCTGTGTGTGTGCTGCTGTCTCAGCTCCTGAGAGTAGCTGTGGGCACGCCTGGTCTTGTAACCCAAGGTACGCTGTCATCTTGTACTTCCACTCCTCACAGGCCTCATATGTGGCGGTGGCATCTTGCATCTGTGTACTTGCGTGACTGCTACTTGTGCTGCGGATGCTTGTGCCGAACCGTGTTGATTGCTGCTGTACGCCTGAACCTGTGCGTGTGTTGGAGCTCACCCTGGGTACGTGTGGATCGTGTACCAGGGAAACTCAGTGTGCTGTTCAACCTACCTGTGAAGCGGCGGCAGCAGTCGAGAACTATTTCTCCTGTGCTGCGCTGCAGGCTCAAGGCCTTGTACCATAGAGTCCACGGTGTGCACACATGTTCGCTAATCTATGTATAATTATCTGTCTGTCTGTCTGTCTGTCTGTCTGTCTGTCTATCTATCTATCTATCTATCTATCTATCTATCTGCCTGACCTTGCAAAATTGGTGCGACTGCCACGAAATCTACACCTGACCTTACGAAAAAGCTGCGCCTGCCGGGAAATCTGCACTTGACCTTGCGAAAGTGCTGCGCCTGGCACGAAGTCTATAACTACTTCACCTTGCGAAAGTGCTGTTCCTGCCACGAAATCTGAGATCTGCACTTCACTTTGCGAAAGTGCTGCGCCTGCCACGCAATTCAAGCCTGGCGAAACCTTGCGTGGCCGTGCCATTGGGCAACTTTCCAGACTGCGGCGAACCCGCGGCGAACCCGCGGCGAACCCGCGGCAAGACCGCGGCGGAGCTAATGCACCAAACGGAGGTAGCCTTTGCAATCTCGCCAAACGCAATACGCTGTGCCTACTACACAATCCTTCCTCCGTTTTGCTCTTTGTTATTTCCTCTCTGTATTTCTTGCGTACGGTCTTTCTTTCTTTGCACGACTCTGCTGCTTTCATTTTTTTGTATTTTCTAACTAAACTTCCTTGGACTATATGTCAAATTAAGCTTTACACGGAAGTGCATTTCCCAAATAGTCTTATTAACAAACAAGCTAACATTTACGGGATTTATTCAAAAGGAGCTCAGCATAAGCAAAGCCAAGTGAAACAACAGATACAGACTTGCATACACAAGCTCATCAACACACAGCAAAAAGTGCACTGTCACACCCCGTATATTCCCCCTCAAACATCACCGCACCCAAAAGGAACATCAGTTCAACGCGGCTTCTCAAAGAGTTAGGCAGTTGAATCTGCAAACTCCAGAAACGTCCAAAGCGGACGAACCCCCCACTTGAGCAGCACCCCAAAGCTGCGCTGATTGTGAAAAACATTTGTCTCCCATGAAACCAAGTCCTCCATGAGCCAATCCTACCCACGACCCATCCACGGGTCGCATTTCGCCACACCCGACTAGAAGAATGCGCCGAGCAGCTGTCCACCTCAACGAAAGCGTAGCCCTTACACTTGCTGCTCCAAGACCTATCCAGAGAGAACTCGGATCTCTCTGGCCAAATCGGAAGCTAGGTCCGGGAGGGAAGGTCACTTTGAACGACTTTGCTCCCAGATCCCCTGCCAAAAGTCCAACTTTTTTAGTGGCGCTGGTGGAAACTGGCGCTCAACAAACTAAAACTCGGAAAAAACGAAGAAGCCAAGGCACCGGAAGGCCGGGGTTCCCATCAGGTTTAGGGGAAAACTCATGGACATCCTCGACACATTGTCTGCTCGCAAACGAGGCAAGTGCGCTGGCCAGCGCAAAGCTTTTTGGAAAGGCGTGGAAGGAGACACCTTTCTAGCCCCAATTTTTGGGCCAATGGGTAGTAGCGTTCGACGTTGACGACATGCTAGGCAGCAATCATGCCATGCTAGGCAATCATGCTCTGTGCTTGGGGCTAATTGTCCAACCTAGAAACAGCAGAGGAAACCCCCTGGCCCATGTTCAAATGCACAAAACGAATCTCCTGCACAAACCGATTTCCCAACTTGTCCAAGTTCCGACTTACCTTGAACATCAACAAAGAAGCTGACCAAAACAAGAGCCCTGAAAGGTGATGTGCAAAACATCCCGTTCAATGGGAAATATAGGGACCCCCTGCAAGCGGGCTTCTTGGAACCCAGACTCAGCTCCAAATGGAGCCTGTAAGTGGATGGGGCGAAACCCCAAAAGGATTGGCAGGGTCCATGATTCTGGGCCTTTTTTTGAGTAACAATCAGTCAGCATACCCAACCGATAGGATCCAAGAGGATCCTATTTGCACATGAGACTCCCAGAAAATGGCTGGGCGTCTCAGGAATTTTCTTGGGGATGTAGCAATCATGTTACTCACAGCCGGCAAGCTGTGAGCTCACAGTTTGCTTGAACCGATCGGGGCAAGACACAGTCAAAGTCGGTCTATGTGGTCCACGTGGTAAAGGGGCCTCAGTCAACATGTTTCCTAGGTGCAGCTGCGTGGTCGTGCATTCGAAGCTGTTGGATTCCCCCAAAGGGTTGCGCAAGCCAAAAGACCCGTGCCCCGAAACAGGAAGAATATCTTCACCCTGATAAAAGGCCTGGTTGATACGTGGGTTCCATGCGCTTTTGTGTTTGTGAAGTCCAGGAAGCACCGCACAGTCAAAGTACACAACAGGACACCTGTGACATGCACCTTATATTCATCAACTCAATACAACGCAGGGCATATTCCTCTGAGTGCAGTACATCTTCACCAAGAAGAAGACAACACCAACACATACATTCAGCTTCCCTCGTTGCTTGGTGGTTGGGGATTGGTGGTTTGGAGGTGAAAAACGGGGTAATTAAATCCCCAAACCACCACTTGAGGGAGTGATTTGGGGGAAGTGCGTTGGCCCCAAAGCAAATCACGTGCCCCCCCCCAAAAGAAAAACAAAAAAAACAAATATATACATCATGCCCCCCCCCCCTCCCCCCCAATAAAACAACAGATTTGCCCAACATTGTAGCCCCTCCCAAACCAAAACAAACAAACACTCCCCATCCAACATATGCAAATCCACCAGACCCGGACCCCCCCCCCCCCCCCCCCCCCCTCCCCCAAAGAGTTCCCAAAACCCTCCAAAGCAAGAAAGGTCCCCCCCCCACCAACCAACCAACCAACATGAAAGTGTCGGGGGCCTGCTAGGCATCTGCAGCCGAAAGTTCGGCGTCACCTCTTGGATCAATCGATGCACTTCCTCCTGCTGGCACCGCGCGGGGATGTTTCGGATCATCATCCTGCGAGAACAAATCGGGCCGAGGGATGTGTCAAACCCAGCCGCACCGCAGGGGATCAAAAAAAAAGCCCAAGGGAAACCCACGAAGTTGAGAAGCTCAATTTAAGGGGGGCTTGGGGGAGGCTTTCCCACAGGTCACGATTCATACAGAAACATGTGACATGTCGCCCCTTGTTCCCTGAGTAACGCGATCCAGTTCAGGGAGTGTCCGCTCAAAGTTCTCAAGTCGGCACACGGCTCTTGGGGACTTGGACATGCTTGCTTCGCAACCCTTGCTATGGCAGAAAACCGTGTATTTGTTGAAAGCCCCCAGCTAAAAATGAACAGAACCACAGAACCAAACAAAAAAACAAAAAAATGATCCGCATTGGACATGGGGTGGGCCTCGGCCATCTGACGAATTGTTTTACCACGAGAGCGCATTTGGCAATCGAACGCCGAGCCAAAACGGAAGCAGCGGTGTTGCCGGATCTGGGAACAGAGCCTGGGGATTGATCTCATTCGGCAATCTTTGCAGTATGCGATAAGGCAAAGGACGGGTGCGCGGAAACGCGATTTGAGGGCGATGATATGGCTTTTCCCATCCGAAAGAAATCCAAACAAGAATCCGTTTAGGGTGACCGAAGTGCAAAAAGCCTGACACTCTTTTCTGAGAAGTTCCAGAACGGAGCAAAACCTCAGCTTTTGCTCAAAGAAGCGCATATTTCATGTTTGGACACGTGTCAAAATAGGGATTTGGCCCTCCCCCCAACCCCCCCAAAAACCCAATTTGGCATTCCTTTCAGTTTCCCTTTTCTGCCACCCCGAAACAGGTACTGAGCCTAAAACAAAACACATGTCAAAAGAGATTCCAGAAAAGGATAGGCCGCCATTCGCCCGAAGCAACTAAACGACGATCCCCTTTCCGGCCATCAAGCAGGAAAGCCCCAAAGTTTGAAACATTCAACCATAAAATGGAAGACAACATGAAAACAACACCTGCCAAAAGTTGGAAGCTCCCTTCAACACGCCCGTCTTGCAAACGATCTCAACTCTTCTTGCTGAGCGTCTTGGTGACGCTGTTCCAAAAGGAGCTGCTCGGGTGTAAACCACAATCCTCCCGCCACGACGAGGCATAGCCTGGAACTTTCAACTTTCCGACGAGCGGAACTCTTCTCTTCGGGGAGCGGATCCAACCAGCAGAGAATGAGAAATGGAATGATCCCTATAACCTATTCTTTAGAGGCCCTAGGGCTTCCTTTAAGGGAATCCCTAGGTTCATTCCCAACGACATGGATCATTCCCTAGACAACTTCATGGCGCATTGTCTTATTCCAGAAAATGGCGTGAATGGAGGAAAACAGCGGGTGTTTGAAACGAACAATGGCTGGACCGAATTTCGTCAGTTTCGGCTTCTCATGTGGTTTTCCAAAACCCCCTAAATGTGTTGGCTCCATATGGTCTAAAGTAAAGCAAGGGTCAAAAAAGCAACCCCGCAACAGGGGAGCCGCCACTCCAAATACCAATGCCCATCTTTCTTTGGGGATTTGTCGAAAAACACTGCTTTCTTCCTGGGAAGGCGTTCCTTTTCTGGCTTTGTCGCATCATGCCTTCACGAAGTGATCTGGTATCACCCTGGGTGTCCTTCTGGAAAAAGCTCATCCACTAGGAAACAATGTTTAGATGGTAACCTGTCACCAGATTGGTGCCCCATGAATCACATAAAGACCCAAGACCCCCAACCGTTTTCGGGCCATAGTTGCTATTTGCTGGCAACTCCTTCCATCCACAGTATCCCCCGCTTCAGTTTTGTCGATGAGTAGTGTGTTTGGGGTCCTTTTGGGCGGTCTTTTTGGGCTTGGACGGCCACCTGGATGAAAAATGCAAAAGTCTAACAAAGGGGCTGGGCTCTACCCAGTAAAAATAATGTACATACCCTTCACACAGCGTGTTTAAACCCGTCTGAATCATGTCCCTGCTTTCTGTTGAGGGAACCTGACCCATACACGGCTTCTGGTGCGGCCTTGAAGTGCCACTCGGAGGCTACAAATCTCGGAGAGTCCGTTTCATCGAAATCTCATGGAGAAAGCCCGAACCCACCGAACCAGGGACAAGGGCCCACCCCCCCCCCCCCTGAAAAAAAGGAAAAAGAGCAGGACGCTGTGGGAGGCACCGTTTTGTACATTTCAAGCTTTCTGAAGTATCGCTCACATAGACTTACAGATTCAAAGAGAGCCGGGGGGGCTGGGAGCATGTGGTGTTTTCACGTTTTGAGTGGAAATTCGAGTTGACCTATGCCTATGCTTGACTGATGTGTAAAGAAAGTCGATTGGAAAGAAAATCCTGTGTAGATTGTAACTTAAGATAGTATGCAGTCTAATCTAGTTCTATTGTAACATAGCAATTATGCTTTGATTATGTCCTTATCATATTCTGTTCAAACTCTCATTGAATTGCAATGTTCTGTTGGAAAGGACTTCCATCCAAATGTTAATTGAAGATTTAATTTCCAGTAGGATTCTGATTCAGTAGTTCTTTATTGAGTCCCATGTAAGTCCCATTCAAACTCACATTGAGTTTTAGAGAGCGGCCGTTGGTGGAGATTCAAATTGAGTACGAAAACGCTACAACCCACTGTGTTTTATGGTGTGTTCTGACCAGGGTAGTGCTGGCGCTATTCAAACTCTACTAAATTTCAGCAAGATTGCAAACCCCAAGGTAGAAGGAAGGAGGGGTTGTGGTCTGCAATCCTGTTGTTGTTTCCTTTTTGTGTTCTTTTGCAACACCTTTAAACATCAAAACATAAGCTCAGGTGATATCCCCAACAGCATGCGATGCTCTTTGTAGCGCCGCACCACCCCGCAGCCCTCGCAGAACCTCGTGGAACCCTCGTGGAACCCTGGTGGAACCCTGGTGGAACCCTGGTGAAACCCTGGTGGAACCCTCGTGGAACCTCACCTCAGGGCCGCCCCGGACCACCCCGCAGCCTATCTGGGCTGAGACCCCAAAGCTTTCAGCTGGTGCGGAAAAAAGAAACCAGATTCAGACCTCAAGCTAGAAGGAGGAGGGGGTTGGTGTCTGCGTATGTTGTTCAGTGTTTTTGTTTTGCCTTGTTTGGACTTTTGAATTGGTTCTCTTGAAGCAAGAGCCAATGCAACCCTTGGCGGAAGATCATCCAAATGTGATTGGACAGGGTCAAAAGAATCAACAAAAAGACAAGCGCACGCCCACGAAAAGCAAAGGGGGGCAATCTTCCAACTCCGCATGGCTGTGGCTCAAAAAACCGCTGACCGAAATGGAACCCTGACAAATCCGCGGTCCATATCCTGGTGGTTTAACTTTGACCCATGCCCATGTTGCAACAAAGCAAACATTTCGCACTCCAACCACTAAAATAGGCTCTAAAATGGGTGCTGCACCTTTAAAACCCTAAAATGGGATACCATTGGTTTTGACCCAGCTCCATATGGGTTTCAGCAAGCCGTGGGCTCCAACAAGTCGGCCCAAGCCAGGGAACGGGTCTGGAGCGCAAGGTCCATCACGGTTGGCTCCTCGCAACCCCTCACTGCCCGCGCGTCTTTGTGTGTTTCATTTCTCGGGTGCCCTGCAGTTTTCTCAGTTCCCTCCCCCCGCCCCCCTTGTTTTTTGTGTTGTACGCTTTTCGGCTGCCGGCAGTTTTCTTGGCTACCTGGTGTGTTGTGAGCCGTTCAGCTTCCCTCGTTGGTGGCTTGCTGGTTCGGAGCCGAATCGGTGGAGATGACCTGCGGTTCCCCGCATGGCTAGCCCCAAACCAATCCAAACCAGGCAGGGTTACCTGAGGAAAAAAACACGTGCTGGTGCAAGGGGTAGGGAATGACAACGAGTCCGGTGGGAATGAACCGTTTGGGGAGTTCCCAAGGAAAACCCCATCTCTCATTCCCTGCCGAGAAGGTACCCTCCCACCAATTAACAAACCTGACTGGGGGTCTTTTCAAAAGGGAAATGGTCCAAACCCCCCCACCCCCCCCCCAAACGGCAGGTTCCATGTTAATTGGTGGGAGGGCCAGCCTGAAAATCTGGGGAAACTCATGGGGCAGTGGTCTTGAAAACCCAAACTCTTTGGACCTCGACATGAAGCCCGCGAAGCCATCCGCGAACCCGAACTCGGCTCAAAATGGACCTCTTCCCAGCCCGAAATCCGCCGAGGGCCCAGTGACCGATTTGGAAGGGAAGGAATGGTCTGATGCCAAAAAGGGATCCGGAAAAAGAGTAGCGTGACGCCCGCTGAAGAGCTTCGCTCGCAAAACACCCATCATTTTAGGCATCTCCTGTTTTAAGGACACACGCATGGTCCGTGTCCGTTCCACATGGGTACCCGAAATGGCTTCATGGCTTTCCATACCCACGACCAGTTTCTGCCAACAGCTCACGACATCCTCTCCGCGCCTCTCCCGAGAATTCTTGGGCCAAGTTGAGCATGGGAAATACGGGGCCGAATTCGGGGCCCGTTGAAGTGACCTCAAGTTTGCCCGCACTTCAACCCATCCCCAAGCGAGTTCTTGAGAAACCCTCGAACACTGCTCACGGTAGGAAGGCGACTGGCGAAGACTTTCACTGCATCTCTGGGCACCTTGGGCCCGATGGGAATCCCCACTCCACAAACTAAGGGCTCCAAAAGTGTTCTGTCTTTCTTTCCCACATGAGAAGATCCGCAAATTTTGGTGAAATCATTCCAACGGCTTTTTCAGGGATCCCCCAATGGGCCTTCAGGTGAGCGCCCCAAAAAAACCCAACCCCCCCCCCCCCCCCCGTTTCGCCGGGGGGAAAAAAACAAAAAAAACGAGCTCCTGCGGTTCCCAGTGGGATGCCAAGGTGGTGTCCGAGGTCTCCGACCCCGACATCGACGAGGGCCAAAACTTGGAGGAGGGAAGGGCTTGCGGCTCCGACGCGGGCATCTTGTTCCTCGACATCGAACTCCGAAAACTCCGATCGAGCAGCGCAAAAACATCTGAGCTCCCAAACAGCTGCGGAGAGGTGGAGGACTGGTCGGACTGGTGGATAAAAGAAAGGTGAGGGTTTCTTGGAACAGTGTTCCCCTCAAATCTGGGCATGACTGGGAAACAATCCCCCAAAGTGTTCATCCAAAGGATTTTCTGATTACTGCTGTCTTCAAACCATGCAAACAGGCCCAGAATGAGAAAACCTTTGCAACCTTCGAGCGACAGGACGAGCTTTGTCTAAACACTGCCATCTTGCTCTGCCCCAGATCCTATAGTCGTTTCTCACATGAGAGTTGCAGCACGGGCTCTGGTGTCTCTGACCGGCGCTTGCCCCTGCGCTGCGCGCTGTGCCTCGGGCTCTCCCTCACAGCCCCGGCCCGCACCTCTGCTTGCGGCCCCTGACCTAGGCAACGACTTGGGCCCAAGTCCAGGAAACACCAGCGCCAGCGGAAAACTTCGAGGACCCCAAGGATTTCTCACGCATGGCGAGAGGACCCGCCCACTCACCCTTCGCGCTTCTCTTGAAATCGTTTACGATCAGGGAATGTAGACAGATATGCTATATGCAAATATAGATTCCATGCAATCTGCAAGTCAGGCTTGAGAGATCAAATTGCAGCTTGCAGTGAATGTTTGCAGCTTCACCAGAACGCTTTACCGCCCCCTTGATTGCGCTCAACCAAACCCTTGAAAGTCTGAGATATACCTCCCCCTTTCAGTGCCGGGCGACCTAAAACTTGACGCCCTTCCTGTTTCAAAGGAAGCCAAAACGAAACCACACGTTTTGGGGTTCAAGTCTCCAGTCCAAGTCTTTTGAAGAGGGTCACATGAAAAGCCAAGACTCGAATATCCTCAAGCCCACATTCGCGAATTGAGCAGCGCCCGAACCCCATTTCTGAAAAACTTGGCGTTCAAGGGCAGCCACCGCGTTGAGAAACACCTAACTAAAGTTGCCACTTTCCGCCCAAAAATCGGGGGCGCTTCTCGAGGCCGCCCGACTGGGCCGCTAGGCCACCGGGCACGAGGGGCGCGGCCTGACGACAGTTCCTAAAGTAGCTGGCTGCGGTCCTTTTGGCTTCCTAACTGACAAGCTCCACATTCTTGCGCAGCCGGAAATCACAGCACAAGTTCCAAAATGAAGGTTTGTTGGCCTGACCACCCCCGCAACCTCAGCCTTCCCTGTGCCTTCTCCGGAACCTTCCTTGAACCTTACACCTGGCCTGCACCAGCCTGGAACCTCCGGAACCTTGCTCGAACCTGACTCCGGAGCTCCCGAGTCACCCCCAAACCTCATCTGGGCTGAGACCCAGATGAGTTTTCAGCAGTTGGGGAAGAATGTACCCAGATTTACGGTACAATGATTGTCCTCCGCAAATGAAATGTAGCCTTCATGTTGATTTTATCGGGGCCTTGAGTCAAAGATGCCCAGGAGACAGCAATGGATCTGATGTTCAAGCAACCAATGCTGACTGTGCCTGAACGAATTCCTGCACCAGTGGGTAGGTGTGTCCCATATTCACAGGGCTTCAATCTCTCCACAAAAAGTATGGTCTGAAGTTAAATTGGGGACCCCTTCGCGAACATCTTAGTTTTAGGGTTTTGTGTTCAGCAGGCGTTGTTTTTGTGTGAATGTTTTGGGACAAGCCAATGTTGGCAATTGAATACAAAATCAAACCTGGCCAAAGCTCCTTTGTGCAAAAAGAGTCCAGCTGCGTAGGTGCGGCCAAAACCCAATGACCCTGCGTGCCCGAGCTGGGTCACGGCCGCCGTCTTGCAATTGTCGAACTGCAGTGGGCATGCTTTATGTTTCTGATATGAGGACTTAAAAGAATCACATGACTGTGGGTCAGAACCGTGTACCCCTGGTGAACATCAGAATAGGCGGTACATGGGTGTTCATGGGCCAGGTTGTGACCCATGGCCACATGATTCTCCCATCATGACGCGATTTGGTTCAATAGTAACCCGCAAAACCAGTCCAATTACTCAGGGCCTAGTAGCGCCTCACGCCTTCCAATCTGCCAAATGAGTCGGGCAGCTAAGGCCACTTCTGGAAATGCTCAAGGTCCGGCCGCGGATCTTCCAGGTTGCGCCATCCCTTGGGTTTTTCTTCTTTTTTTTTTAAACATGTTTGAGCAGCAACTCTCGGTTTCTTTCTGCTCCGCTAAATGTTTTTGGTTTTTGGTGGTTTAATACGGAAAACCCATGAGCTGGCAAAAAGCTGAAGTCCTAGCATCCAAGCAAAATGCGCCAAAGAATTGTTTGAGCAACTTCCTTCTGGTGGTTCAGGCAAGTTTCCCCTAAGCCTGGCGTCTTTGGGGTCTGCGCGTGTCGCTGAAACGTCCAAACTCCCTGCGAAACGTCTGCCGAGCCTGGTGCATCTTCTTCTGAAAGCTCTTGCGGTGTGCCCGCCTGAAACTGCCGGCCCTCTCTGGTGCCTTGTGTACTTTCATCCTTGCCCTCCCATGCTGAGCGTTTGGTTGCCATTTCAAAAGTCGCAATTGGCACCCTACCTTCAGTTGGGGAGTGAGGGGTGAGGTTGAGGTCCAACACAGTTTCATTCCCTCATCTTTCCCCTTAAAGGAGGGGGGGGACAGGTACCCAGATCCATTTGATCGAGCCGTCTGAATCCAGACAGGAGAATTGCATGGATCGCAAGACATGGAATCAACCGCAGGTCAAACTTGCCCTTCCCAATCTACTACTCTTCTCTCGACCACTTTTCCAACCCCCCCAACTTGTTCTTGTTGACCTTCTTGTCTATGGGTGACTGGGTGGTTACGGAGCTCAAACAAAGCCAATGGGCTCCATCGCTCTCTCTTCCCAGCCCTTGGTACACAAGCGCCACGACGGAACCGAAGCAAAGAACCAAACATCCCAAGGGAGAAAAAAGGGCGGCTCGAGGAGGAACGCGTGTGCTTTTGCAAGGGGGAGATTCCCACAGTGGGGATAAGCCCCTTCATGCCACAACCCTGCCCTTTGGGGCTTCCATGGAAGGGATTTGCCACGCGCTCCGCTTTTAACAAGTCTCCAAGCTTAAACCGGGAAGGCGTTTTCCTGGATCGAAGCCAGCCTCAGAGAGGCTGACAGCGCACTTCTCGCTTCGTTCGACCTCCTTTGATCCCAGAAATGGAAAACAAAACACACGCTGTCTAGTGATCCTTCCTGGTTTCCCGCAAAAGGGTGGGGGGGCAAAAGGCGAAAACCCTCAAGGATCTTTTTCCATGTGTGCTCGCGGGATTGCCTGGGCAACTGCTTTCATTATCTTCCCAGTTTGTTTCATTTGGGCTTTAGGCAATGACGCCAATGAAAAGCGTCCCTTGTGATTTCTGAAGGGGATCCCACACTTCATTCCCGAAACGGTGGATTCCTCGCTGAGGACGACCAAAGCGGATTTTTCTGGGTGTCTGGACGCTGGGTGTAGAGCACAGGGACTCCGGCTTGAGCTTGGTCACCTCGAGCAGCGGAGTGTCCAAAACTCCATCCGGGCCGTTTGCCCCTCGCCCAAAAGTCTACTCCTCACTTCCGTGGACTGGCCCAAGTCCAATCCTTTCGGTTTGCCACCAAAATGGTCCCAAAAAGCATCACGTCTGGGGACTCAGGCAGCGAGCTAATTACCTTCTTGCTGCAAAAAGCTAGGGTTGGCCAAGATACCGGTCTAAGACGAGCATCTGCCCGGCGAAAATGAGGAACAAGCAAAAGCCTTGCCCCAGGCGCCTAGGGCCGTGGAAAAGACTCCTTTCTGCAAACCGCTGGAGGTAAAAGGGCCGAAGTTGAAAAGGAAAAATCCTCGGGGCTCCTTGAGGAAGTCCATTCCGTGGGGGGCCATGAATACTGTCAGTCAGCCCGAGTAAAGCGGGCGGTTTCACCGCAGGAATAGCTGCATCTCAAGATCCGTGAGCCATGCACTGCACCGGCCTAGTATTTGGATCTAGACTTTGTAATGTCCAAAAAGAGCCAACCCCGAGTAACTCAAGTGCCCATAAACTGGGCCTGTAAATGAACCCAACCAGATCTTAAGAGTCGCAACCACGATGGTTGCCCATACTTCCAAAGCCTGGAAGTAAGGAATTGTCAAGGAAACGACCTTCAGACCTTTCGATCACTTTGTGCCGCAGCAAGCGGCAGGAACCGGTCCCCTCAGTCGCCTGGGGCACCCCCACCGTAGTCGCCACGCCATCCTCAAGCTTGCCTCGACGGAAAAGCACCCCCACGCGGATTCAAAGAGTTGTACTGAAATGAGCTTGTGGGACATAAACTCTGAATTGAGTCGACAAGCGAAGAACATTTGTAAATATTCATGTGCCGCCACATGTTGCTCCCGTGGATCGACGAAAAGGAAGTTCTTCAGGTTCTTCATACCACACACCCCGGTTCTCAAAATGACGCCGAGAAAACCTACTGATAACCAGCACCCTGGCTCCCTTTCAGAGGGGTTCCCCAGGGGGTGCACCTCGGGCGTATGGGAACAGGCTCGGACGAGAAACGGATGGAAGAACCACAGGAACCAGTCCAGGCAGTCAAATGCCATTGCAATCAGAGCAAATTTGACAAAATCGGGTTGGGCCAACCCCATGCTCAAGCATATGTTCCCCGCCACTGTTTCGTTACTTCCACCTTCTGGTCCTCAAAATGTGACCAAACTCTGCTGATGTAAGCCAATGCTAACTCTGCAGCAAAGCCACCGCACTGAACACAGCCTACAGTTAGATTCCACAAACCATTCGGGCTCAGAGATTCCAACCCCCCAGGCCTGGAACAATAAAAAACAGCGGTCGTTTGTCGTTCTGCTTCGCTCATTGAATTTTGGGGCCTTGTCTTTTGCAACCCCCATGTAAACGCGCAATGCGTGCGATACATATGAATAATCCGTGTCAAGTATGCATGTGTGCAATGTGGGCAATTGTGTGCGCATGTGTGCATCATTCTCATGCAAAACTCATGCGTGATGCAAGCATGGAATGCACAAACCTGGCCCAGACTCAGCACCCGTCAGACAAGTTGAAAAGCTAGGACTGTTTGGCAAGTGTCTTCTACAACTCTTACAACTCTGCACACCAACAGCATCATGGTTGACCCTCCAGTCACCAGAAACAAGAACACCCTTTGCTTTGTTGGCTTGTGTTAGGGGAAAGCATTCCCAAAGAAAGGAAACACGGCACCACCGGGCAGCTGGGCTCGTTCTCTGCTAGGTGTTCGGAAAAGGGCGGCACACAGCAAAGTGGCATCTTGCCCCACAAAAAGGTTGACAATAGCCAGCCGGCAAACAAGGCCCCCCCCAGCTTCTGCATATCGACCACGCTCATCCACGGAGAGGGTCGCGCACGCTCCACAAAAGGTAGAAAAATCCTTACTTTTTGCACATCGACCACTCCAATCCCCGCAGAGGATCACAATCCCGAGCATCGCCGACGGTCCCACCCCGCCTTAGCAAAGTATGTTTGTATAGAAAGCAAACGAGCAAGTTCTCTAAGCAAGCTCTCAGAGCAAGTCTGAGCAAGTTGTCTGAGCAAGTTTATCTGAGCAAGTTCTCCGAGCAAGTTCCTCTGAGCAAGGTCTCTAAGCAAGTTCTCTGAGCAAGTTTTCCTGCGCAAGTTCTCTGCACAATGTGTTCGCGATGCTTTGGGAAGAAACCGAGAGGAAAACCACGAATATGGAGGTACCCCTACTTTGAAACACACCCGTATTTCCAGCATTGGAACATTTCCCCTTCAAAGCAACCCCACTTGGCGGGCTTACAGGAAACCAACACGTGTCCAAAAAGGTGTTTCAATTCACTAACCTAAGCTAAGAACACTGGTGCACCAAGAAAGTGAATCCATGGACCCCACGCCAAATTTCAAATTCGCCCTCACATGTCCCATTTCAAAAACAAGACACTTGTGGCCACTTTCATGAAACCCGCAAGCAAGTGCTGGTCGTTACCCTCACGGAACCTGGAGAAAAAAGACCTGATCCCAAATTGAAGCATCTTCACCAAGAGGTCCCCGCGTTCCAGCCATGTGCTTTTGGCCTCTTTCCTCGTGAGGTCCCCACGCTCAACCGCCGCCTTCTGGGCCTGGGCTCACGTTTTTGCCTCGTCCCGAAGCCGAGGCCGGGCGCGGATGACTTGCGCCAGCATCAGGTGGTCGGACTGGCTCAGCTTCCGGCCTGCCGAGGGCCGAGGGCCATGGCACCTGGGGGAGGAAACCACAGCCCCAAAGATGGAAGCGCCCAGGACCCGGTTGGAAGACGTTCCATGTACAGAGGCCTTCTGGGAGCTTCCATGTTCGTCTGTGGGAGGGTACCTGGAAGATCAATCTCCTCTTGTAGGGACCCCCTGTCAGGTGGGTACTTTCCTTGATGCTAGAGACAAAGGGTCCCTGAGAAGTGGAATGACCCCGGAAAAACCATTCCGGATTCGGCTTCCTTTAAGGAATCCCTAAAATTTCAAGGTTCATGCCCAACACCCCGGGGCATTCCCTACTGAGCACCAGCAAGTTTCATCACTGAAGGGAACCCAAAACCAAGCACCAAGTGGGACGAATGGCACAAAACGAGTTTGTGTTCCTTCTTTGGCATGTTTCTGGAAACCCACTGCAAGTTAGGCACGTGGCAGTCAGGCAGGGCTCATGAGCTGGAGGGGTGCCGCCGGGCTGACTACCTCGCGTAAAACATGACCCCCGCAACACCCTTTCTGACACGTGCACAAACCAAAACACAGCGGCCTTGACTTGACAAGGCCCTGCAAAAAAAACCACCCACGACCAACCAAGAGTAGCTTTTCCACGTTGCCTTCTTTGAAACCACAGATGGAAGTATGTTGGTTAGCCAGGTCAGGGAGCCCTGTTCTAAAAAAAAAAGAAAAACGATTGTTACAGTACGTGAAAAGGGGGTCAGAAAACCAGTAGCGAAGAAACGAATTGGTCCCCCCCCCCGGAAAAACTGCTGCAAATCGCGGAACTCCGAATGAATTCGCCTGATCCCAGACCCGTGAGGATCTCAGTGAGTCTTGCCTGGCGCATTTGTGCAATGGAGGGGTTCAAAAATCCAATGCGGGCCATTGTTATGGTTCTCTTGATAGGAACCGTTGCAATCGTCTCAAATCCCTAAAGGCTTGATATATGCTGTAGGCTGACCATGTCCCAAAATTTCCCGGACCTCGGACCTGTCTTCATTCGATGACTTTGAACCAGGATCAACAAACCCCCGATGAATTTTGTTTCATGGATGCAATCCATGTGCACAGAACATATGTTAAGATCTGTTTCATATCAAGTCTACCAGCATGGCTTCTTTGCTTGCTTGCTCGCTTTCTTGCTTGTTTGTTTGTTTGCTTGTTTGTTTGTTTTGCAGAAACAAAAGTTTGGAGAGGATGTTTACTTGTGGGAACATTAAAGGGGCTGATCTGCATTGCCATCTCTGGCAACGGGTGGATGTAGCCCCAGCATTCACGAGGATCTCCCCTGGTTGAGCTTCCAAAGGTCCACCAAAGGGTCGCCATGTCTCGCCCGCCATCGGAATAACTTGCGGAAAAAAGAAGAAAAAAAAACGAGTAAGTCTTAGGACGACGAACGCAAAGAAGTGCAAACGTCAAAAAGCAATGGTGTTGCCTCTCACTGGTGTGTGCCACAAGTTTGCCAGGTCTCCCTACAAGGGTTCGTGCAGCCGATCAGCTCAGTTGGGCGCATGGCCAGAGGCTGCACCCAGAATCGCCTGACCACTTCCTCCTAAATCCAGGTGCCCTGAACGAAAGGGATTGTCAACCAGGAGTTCTTTTTCCTCAACCAGGTGGTTGTCAACCAGGTGCCTAGTTCTTTCTTTTTGTTTCGTTCACTCTTGAGGTTTTGATCGGCGGTTTCTTGTCTGAGGACGCAGGCCGCCAGACTCCGGTCGCCTTCCCTTTTGCACTCTTGATGGGCAAAGGTTAACCAACGGAAGGCTCCGTTCTTTTTGTGGCCGTTCCGGTCTCTTGTTTGCATATGCATGGACATGCTTTCCGCAGAACTAATCATGACCCAGCTGAAGTCAAAATTCACGACTTTCAGGAGTGAACATGGTCGGTATTCCTTTTTGCAACTCAACTTGGTGACTTATGGATGTTTCTCCAAATTGTCCCCTAGAGTAGTACTCGGGTCCGTTTCTGCGGCTTCCCTTCAAATACCAGCAAGGGGTCCCGCAGCTCGCCGGCATGGGTGGAGAATATCATCCTCCAGCCGCAAAAGAATTGGTGCCCTCGAAATGGTTTTGTGATCCTTGAGAGACTTCTGACCTCAAGCCCGTCCCCAGTCCTTCTTTTGAGGCCGCTGGCTTACCGGAAAGAAAAAGACTGGCGTGAAGAAATTTGATTCCCCAACCGGAGAAACAAAAAACAAATACAGAAGCTTCATGGTGCCCGAGGCAAGCCCGGGCGGTTGTTTGGAGGTCACAGCTTCAGTCGCGTTCCTCCAAGACCAACCCACCTTTCAAATGTGTATGGTTTTCCAAGGTGACTGAAAGCAAACCACCTGAAAGGCCATTTCTTCGGGCTGAAAAAGCCAAGGCCAAGAAGGCGCCCAAGCGGGCCCATAAATCTAAACATGTGCTTAAAGGGATGTGGGAAGGTGGCCTTCCCAGGATCCTTTGCAACGGATTCCAACTCGCCTTGCGATTTTTCCCCGAAACTGCCGCCGGGCCGGCCACATCTTGCTGGGGCATTCGTCCGTACAGGTCGGTGAGTGCCTCAAGGCGATGGCTTGCCGCGATGGCTCGCCCGCCCAGTTTCTGAAGGGCTCCCTTCCCTCAAAAAAACTTCAAGTTTGGGTTGGCTGTGACTCCCAAACATGGTGCCCACTTTTTTTCCCAACGGCTCTCCGAAACATGGTGCCCACTTTTTTCCCAACGGCCCCGAAACTGAGCAAAGACACGAAAAGTTGGCAAGACCCAGGCATGTACAGCAACTTCAGGGAAGAAACTGAGCGAAGGGCTCGGAAAACCCCGGTTTTCTCTCTCCGCTGGTTGCAGTCTGTGGGTCCTACCGTCTGGAGAAGAAAAAAAGAGCTGATGAATTCCGGCCTCAAAACCAACTCAGCCAGGCTGTCAAAAGTGAGAGCCCTTCAAGCAAGGTTCCCAATTTGGATGACATGTGGTGCCCCGCTAAGGCCCAGCACAAAGATTTGGATCTTGGGTCAATTTGGGTGTGTGAAGAGGATCACACCTCAAAAAAAATTGTCTCGCTCAAGTTTTGCGGTGTTCAGTTCATCGCACAGGGCCCCACCTTTGAAGGCTCGCCATGGTGTGCTTTCCGAACTGGGCCCCACACGGCGTTTTCCTATTCTTTCGACCACGCGCACGGGTAAAAGCCGCCATCCGGGGTGTCGGATATGCGGGTCTTGAGCCACAAGGTGATTTTGAAATCCACCTTTCAGGGGAAACAAAGGGAACTTGTCAACCACCAATGCTTTCGCTGGTCCCACCTTTCTTGCTTTTCTTGGGGGCGGAATCCCCTTGGTTGGTTTTAAAGACAAGGCACAAGGGTGCGACTCCGTCCCAAAGTGATCCGGAAGTGACTCGTAAATAGGAGCCCCCACGAATCTACTTTGTGCCCTTATCTTGAGACAAAACATTTGCTTCAGCTTGGGATGGGAAGAGTTGACACCAGTTGGTTATCATCAGTCAGATAGCCAATGTTACCCAGCATGTGAATCCGCGAAAGCGGTGGGTTTCCCCTGCTGGAAGCCGGCCCCTCGTTTGGCTTTCCCGCCTTGGCCATAAGCTCCTCCGGTCTGGGCTCGCACACCTTGGCTCGCACAACCCGAGTGGATTGGCCCCAAAACAGAACAAAAAACTGCTTGGTGGCCAAATGGTCCAAGCCCCAAAAGCATTTTGCGCATCTGGCCAGTGCCGGCCGGTCGTGTGGCGTGGTACCGGCGACAATGATTGAGGCTTCAAAACGAGGTTGGACCAATCTCCTGCTCAAAATCATTTTGGCACCCATGGCTTCAACAAACCCCATGGCTCCAGCTTTCTATTGGAAGCCAGGGGGGGGTTGAAGAAATGTTGACCCCTGAGAAGTGAAGTGACATCAGATTTCACCGAACATTCAGGAATCCCCTCGTGCCTTCGACCGTGGCTCGCTTCAGATCCAGATGAGCTTGCTGTTCCGTGCAGATCATCCAGCTGTTACTGAGCTGCAGATCCGTTTGATACACTCACGACCCAAGCACTGCCCGAAAAGCGCAAGCAAGCGAGCGCAAGCAGATCCAGTTCCTTTGCCCACGGAAGTGGCGGGGGAGACATCCACATTGGCGTCCACCACTTTGGGGTCGACTAAAGCAAGAAAAGAAAGGCATGCACGCCAATACGTTGTGAAGATTGGGTGGCTTGCGTTCGTTTGGAACAGTGGATGCTTCCTATGGCGAGTGTGTCTCTGAGACGGTCCCCCCTTTTCGGGCCCCAAATGGTTGGCTTCCTCTTGGGTTCTTGGGTCGCCAATACAAAAGGCTCCCCACCCCACCCCACCCCACCCCACCCCACCCCCACCCAATTTGAGGGCTTGAAAGAAAAACAAAAGGACGGCAAACCCCTCAAATGAGCAGTGCCCGCTTCTCGTCTTGGGCTATGAAACACCTCTTGCGCACTCTAATGTTGACCCCATATCAATCAGCCCCAGTGTATTCATAGGGGGGTGGGGCCCCTCCGAAAGTGGTCTGAATCCCCTCAAATGCCCGGCGGCCATGGGAGAAAAACAGGGGTTGGTTGTTAACCCTTCCCAAAAGAAAAGGAAAAAGGGCGGAATCCACGGTGCCAACGATATGTCAACCTTCTCTCCCGTCGATCCGCTCGCTCGCTGGACATCCCCGGCAATTGGCTCGAGGCCGGGGGGAGGGGCCAAAGTCAGGCCGAGACCTGGCGCGGCTCTGCGGCGGTCTACTCGGGTTGCGTTGTACTCCTCAAAGGAACCTGGAACCGGGAAAAGGTCCCCAAATGCCTCTATGCTGATGTTGAAAAACGGACTTTAGGTGGAAAAATGCAGGTGAGTACAGGGAGATTGAGAGAAGCACTTCTTCCGGGAAAGTGTGCAGAAGCCCGGGGAAGGTGTGTTCAGTTTCAAAATTGATGGAGCCAAACTGGCTTCAGCTTCGATGCTCAAGCGCCATCCGGTTGTCCAAAAGGACACCTGCACACCTACGCCTTGGGGCTGGGGGGGGAGAACTTCTCGAACAATTGGGTCTGAAACGCAACAATATTACAACTGCGCCAGACTTAGACCTGCGCAAGTCAGCTTATAGAACAAAGCGAGCGAAAGCCACAGAGAGAGTTGAAATGCTAAATCTAGCCATGAGCGCATACCCTGGTTGCTGGCGCCGCCTCTGCCAAAATGTGGGTTTAATGGAAAACCCCTTGGTTTCCCAAAAAGTTACAGTCCAAAGATCCGTTACCCAATAGCAGTCAAGAACCATACGAGGGAGTCAGATGCTGAACAGCAGGAACTATGTGGGCGAAAACCGGTGGCCTCCAAGAAGGAGATCTCTCGGTCAAAACTCTGCCAGTGGGCCATGGTCATGACCAGACATATTGCGCTTGCAGCGACTTAGACTTGCTTTTGCAAAGACAGCATGTCTGAAAAGCCCGCACCACCCTTTGTTGGACCCCTTCTTGATTCCTGCCGTGCCCCTTGCAAACCACGAAAAGGAGCCCTTTTACGCGACAATGATGCCGGCCTCTTTTCACAAACCCAAGCTCGCCCATGTCCAGTACTCATCGGAGCGCAAATGCTGACAAATGCTCCTACCCTTTTTAGGACCCCTTTGATAGCATTTGCCGCCTTCTCAAGTTCTTCAAAGCACTTGCCCAAAAGTCAAAGGAATGGTTTTTCGAAATCTCGGTTCGCTCAATCAAGGCCTTGGGCTCTTCTGGGAAAACAAGGGAGGGGGGAGGGGGGTAGGGCTTGAATATGGAAAACACCCTGCCGAGCCACCGCATCTGAGGCTTCGGCCTGCGCCAGTCATGCCAGTCATGCCAGTCAAGTAGGCCGCCATGTCGCCGGAGATTTTCTTTTGCCGGAAAGTGATCGGAATAAATCGAGCACAACGCTGCAAGGGAGCGGCGGCACGGATTGCACACGAGGCCTGAGGTGGTTCCAAGCCAGCGGGACCCGTTCAGAAAGGAACGTTTCCAAAAACACATCAACAAGCCGTGTGGAGGGGTTCAAACACCCAAAAGTCAGCAAATCGAAAGCGGCGCGCCGAGCGCGAGCCAGTTCTGCTTACTCACGTCCAACCCGTCACCGACATGTTTGGGCGCACCCAAATGGGTTTGATCACAAACTTCCAAAACGGCATGATTGTCCTTTCGTGCAAGAGAGCGGAACCAAGATCGGAAATATTCGAACCCGCAGCGGGACCATCTAGGAAGGATGTCACCCATTTTCTGGATGCCCCGTTCTCTCCACGTGCGAATAAGGTGCCTTTAATGAATCCGCGAATATCTGCCAGTCACACCTTCCGAAAGCAGGGGACGCGGCAATTGCGCAATTGAACAACTCCAAGATTACTGAGACTGAACGGTTCAATGTGAACCCAATTCAATTCATTCATCAACTCTGGTGTATGTTGATAGGGGGCGATACTCATTAGAGGGGGCCGGATCACTTTATGCCGTTTGCCCCTCCCATTTGTCCACCACTGGGGCCTTCCTGAAGAACAAATAAAAACAAAGCAGACTCCACCAACATCACCCAACAAAAAACCTGACACGGCCAAAAAGAGGGGTAGAAACAAAATCCTCCATACCTACTAGGGGCCCTCGGAAAATGTCAATTGATCCGAGCATCCAAGCCCACGAAGCGAACAACACCACGTCAACTTGTCACATGCGACCACTTGCAGTGAGGCAGACCACGCCATATCCCTAATTGACTGATTAGCGAAATTTCGGTCAAGAACGAGAGACGCCGGGTGCATCTGAGCAACTCAGTGTGTGAGCCACGGTCAATATGCTTTGTGGGCCCCCCGATGACTTGGGTGTCAGTGAGGAATTCCAACTTCTTTTTGGCAATTTGATGAGTATACCCAATGTCGCTCCAGTTGCTACAGTAGACGACAGCTTTCTTTTTTCAGGACACCTTCCTTGGCGTTGTGTCCCAAGATCAAAGAATCCGAACTCGTTAAAGGGCACAACGTGCGGTGCAGCGATTCAGAAGCCTCCCGATGCCTATAAGAGGCAATACGGCCGATTCGAAGGCTCCTTGGAGAAATGTCAGATGTGTCCGACGTCAAGATCTTGAGAATGTAGTAGGGGGAGTATTCTCGCTGTCATGCCTGGTGACCTCCCTTTTGACATAAAGACCTATAGCTCTAAAAGTGCCTCAAGCCCAATTCCAGTGGTTTGGGGCATGAACGAACCTACAAGGGAGCTCAAAAACAAATCGGCCACATTGCACACTTCAGAAATGGACAACCCCAAAACCTCTTCAAAAGTCAACATCCCCTTTGCCCCCCCTCCCCTCCTCCAGTACTAAAACCGCCCTCAAGTTGGAGACGACGTCCGATAATCCTCAAGGGTTTTGCCCGTAGACAGGACCGCGAAACCTGGCCCCTGAAGCAAAGTTGTTGAACACCAGCATGTGTAAACCCTGTGGTTTACACACCTGAAAAAACTTTGCACTTTGGTCCCAGCACCACTTATCATGCTTACAATTGATGCAGCAAAACCACGGCAGATCAAAGTTTGAAGGTGAAAACCCGGGGTTTGAACGGTGGAAAGCTTGAAGGCTAAGGCTTTGGGCAAGGGCTGAAACTCGAGGCAAACTAGCTCGATGTCGGGTCACGTCCAAAGCTGCTAGCTCGCATGACCTGGGAGCCAGAGCATGACGTCCGTTCTTGGGCGCCGAAAAGTTTGGGTTGTGGTTTGCAGTTCTTGGCTTTTTGCTCAAACAAAGACAAAATCGTGCTGTTTATCTTTGTGTTTGTGTTCTGCATCTTTTTTCTTCACCTTCGCTTCTTCAAGATCATCATCATCATCATCATCATCATCATCATCATCATCATCATCATCATCATCATCATCATCATCATCATCATCATCCTCATCGTCGTCGTCGTCGTCGTCGTCGTCGTCGTCGTCGTCGTCATCGTCATCGTCATCGTCATCATCGTCATCCTCAGCAGCAGCAGTAGCAGCATCTCATCATCGTCATCTCATCATCACTTCTTCTCCTCCTCCTCCTTCTGCTTCTTTTTGGTCTTCTCCTTTGTCTAAGGCTCCAAAAGGCTTTTTGGGGTCCTTTGATAGGAGTGGCCCTCGTCCTTCCCGTGGCTTAGGGTTGTCTGGTATCCGATTGTAGCTAAAACGAGAGAATCAAAGTAGGAACCTTCCAAATGCCAGTGTCCTCTTCAAACTGGGCTCCTGCTGTTGGCTTCCCTCTTGCAGCCACAAAAAGGTTAGTTCCTGGACTTTTGAGGCACTCACCAAACCACCGGCGAACAGAAGCGAAGCAAAAGAACCCCCTCACGCAATTCGATTGGCGAATCCAAGTTCAGCTTGCTTGTTCCCAGCCCATGGCAACCCAAACAGAACTATTTGCCCCAGAAACCGACCCCTGCGCTCTACTTTTCCGTGGGTGAATGCCCCATTTGTTTCTATCATCATTCTGAACACAATCCGCTTGGGAGCTTGCAAAGATTCGGATCCCTGGGCAGAACGTGGAAGCTACTCAGGTCCGCAAAACAAAATTAAGGGGTAAGGTACAGCAACACCAAAAAAAATTTGATGAATCCCATCGAACTGCGTAGTTAGTATTCACCGGGGTAGGGTACAGCAAAACCAAATTCTTCATGAATCGTAGTGTGTAGTTACCCCTCATGTTGCCCGGCTTCCCATGGATCCGAATTTCAACGGGGCAGGGTACAGCAACACCAAACAAAAGTTGAATCGCAACGAGTCGCGTAGTTGTGGTACGCCTCACGGCTCGCCCTGGCGTTTTCTCCCCCCCTGACCTGTGGCGCCGAGCAGGCCGAAGCGCGCTGCCAGGGCAAAGGCCCAGGCGAGGTTCTGCAGGGAGAGCTGGCGTGGGGTTCCCTCGTTGCTTGGCGGTTTTTTTGGAGCCGCAGCTGGAGCCGAATCGGTGGTTTGGTGGTGAAATGGAGGGGTGTCCCATTTTTCTACAAGAACCATGCGTTCTTTGATCCCCGAAGCACCAATCCAAACCAGCAACTAAGGGTTGCCTGAGCTGCTATGTGAGACCCCATGTGACCATCTGGGTGCGACTTTTTGAGGGAACGAAATATGGGGATGGTGCTAAAGGGAAACTACAGGGAAGACCGACCAGTATTGGGCTAGACACATCCACATGCGGTTAAAAAACCAGAAACCAATGCTGTGACCACTGAGGGCATTGGCCTCTCTAGAAAAACAGCACAAATGTCCATAGTTTATAGGTTGTGCGGATTTCCGTAAGTTTCCATAGGTTTCCCATTCAATTGGTTCAAGGTGTTCATAAGTTTCCATTCTACAAGCCTCCGAGGAATTGAAGAGCACCACATGTTCTGCTCACTTCCACGATTGGAAACGTGGTAGAGCACATGAATATAGTCCATGGCTTGGTTCGCCTTTGGCCACATGCAACAAAAGATGCTCAGGAATTACGGCATCTGTTTTAAAGTACCCCCACAACCCCATATAGGCCCCGAGAGTAGCAGGTCTTTCCATTGGTCAGTGGTCGAGCCATCGCAAATGTGGGGTGGTGCTCGACGGGAATATTGCCCCAAACTATTGCGATGGCTTCCCATTTTAAGGGTAGCTTGCGGGTCTGGGTATTTCTTTGGGTATGTGCGTTTCGGGAACCTTTTGCAGGATTTTCGAAAGGGAACCTTCCCACCGAAATCCATGTTGGCAGTCATGTTGGGAGTCTCCCTACGACACACGCCCCATTTTTCCCCAACAAATCTTCGGCCCGTGGAATTTTTGCGGCTCCCTTTGGGCCTCCCTTTAAACCGAGCACATCCCCGGATCCGGAACCCCGGAACCCCGTCCTGCCTGCAGGTCCTGGTCGCTGAAGCTCCGCAGCTTCTCGCCGGAGCTTTTGGCCACCGCGCGGAAGAAGTCGCCGTGCAGCACCTGGCGCGTGGGTCTGTGGTCAAAACCGAAAAGGGATCCCAGGGTAGCGGTGAACTCACCACCCAGTTTAGAACCGATTTTATGCAAATCATACTTCCAGTTGCTTAAGAATGTGTTTTGATGTCTGTCTCCCTCTTGCTTTTTTTCTAAATATATTCATTTAATAACAACAAAAATGTTTCCACCCATTTTAGAACCTAGTTTAGTCGTTGGATTGGGATGCTCACTGGGGGTACGATTTGGATTTTGACCCACGGCCACCTGACATGAGGGAGGTTTGAGCCAGAGCGATGTTTGTTCAACATTTGAAACCAACCCCGAAGGAGGTGGCTCGTCGTTTTGAAACCGTACCCCTTTTTGTGGCTTGAAAGGGAAACCAAAAGGAAAGCCGCAAATTTGCGGGGGGCGCCTACAATGAAGACACCCCCAAATGACCCCTTGTAGTTGGGGCGTGTCTTGTTCCCAAGTTGCTGGATCGCCAGCGCGTTTGCCCGACTTCGAGTGTTTCTGGGATCAATTTGACAAAAAGCAGCAACTTTGGCAATACAATATTCGTTGTTGCTCCCAAACATATTTAATCGTGTGGGTCATGTGCTGCTAGAGGGAAAGCCTGGGCTAAATTCCCCATGGTGGCATTCAAGTATTAGAACCCTGACAGCAGGTTTTACCCCATGTTCTCCCTCCAATTAACATGGAAACCTGACGTTCGGGTCCTGGCTTGAACCTCTCTTTTTTTCAGGCACCGGGCCCGAAGGTCAGGCTTGTCACTTCGTGGGAGGGCACCTCCTCAGCCCAAAATCAAAAATATTGCTGTTCGCCTTTCTTTGGGAATTCCCCAAAACCGAGTCACAGAATCAGAAATGTGTGTGTGTGTGTTTCCCTTTCTTCGGGGACTTCCCACAAAACCGAGTCATCCCCGGACTCGGACAATTCCAACCGAAGCCGGCTCATCCCACCCGGACTCGTTTTCCCTCCCCGCGACTCGACCCCCCGGCGACTCCGAGCACTCGACTCGATCGAGAGGTCCTCGAGGGAGGCGAAGGCCCAGACGCTCGCCGCCAGGTCCCGGGCCTGGAACTTCTCGAGGCCTGAGATGTGTTGGGCCTGGAACTTCTCGGGGCTCTCTGTCCCCGTTGCTTCTTGGACTTGGCAACGATGTTTTTTTTTGTTTCCCGGTGGTCTTAGAGGGAAGCAAGGAAAGTCACCCTTATATATAGATAGCTATATTTTTTTGGGGGGGGGCTCAAAAATAACACACCCACGCCCAGGTGCTATCTCCAGCGGGGGCCTCCTGGAACCCTCCCTGAAAGCGCACCTCAAAGCTGTGGATGGCTACACCAACCGCACAGAGTTTGGGAGGGCTAAAACCCAGTTTGAATGGTTCATGAACTACCTATCTGGTCCAACATTGATGTTGTCCATGAAAAAAGCAGGCAACCAAAACAAAAACAACAAAAAAAAAATAGTAGGGAGACCTCCCATTTGGGAGTGTCGAAACAAACTTCAAGTTTAAGAGGACACCAAACGAAACCAACCGTTTTGGTTCGGATTACACGGATCTTCCCGGGGAACGAGGAAATGACCCCTATAAATATAAGTTTTCCCATCTAGTTTCATTTCAGGGAATCGCTCCCTCCACCCACCCACCCCTGGCGCATTCTCAAAACCCTTGAAGTTCTCTACTGGGACCCTGCAAGTAATCAGGGTTCTGCGTCGGGCCTATGCAGAAAAGCCAAAGGGAAACCAAAGGGAAACCAGGTTTTTAGGGTAGTCCTTGTCAGGGTTCCTTCTCCGACCCTCAAAACATCACACCAAAAGGAGACTTATCTTGAACTGGCTACCATAATGTTGGTCGGGTTCCCTGTGTTCATGCCGAAGCTTGGCTCCCTGCTTTCAAGGTTTCCTGTTTTACTTGGTTCCTGTTTTCAGGGGTTCCTGCACAAGTTCAGGAAGCTATTCTCCTAATCTTCACAAGGAACCTGGTGCAAGGCACGTTCTAGCCAAACTCCCTTTGGATGCTTGGGCATTTTGGACGTGTTCTGGTCTCACTGGTTTCTTGGAGCAGGGTGAAATCACCTCAAACAATGAAAACCCCACATTTTCCTGCCTCAACTCTTGATGTTGCGTTGTCGACACCACCAAATGGCGTGAAAGCCGTGACGACTCTCGCGATGCTCCCAAGGAATCATGTCTCAACACGGAGGGGAAACAATGCATTGCCCACCCACGGCCTTTTCGCAGGAGCCTGAGGACGGCTTGAAAGACCCAATCCCCAGGTTCATGATTCAAATGACTCGTCGCAGAGCTTTCGTTGGCTGAATCCCAAACAAATCGCTGAATGGGTAATTAATTTGGACCCAAGCTTCCCGTTTTCGGGGCGTCCAAACTTGGGGACCTCGCCTTGCAGACTCGCTTACACGAGCTGTCCGCCAAAGTGTGCCTTCGTCCCAACCCCCCCCCCCCCCCCCCGCCCCCCCCCGCGCTTACGGGTTGGGTTTGCATGGCCCTCGTGTCCAAGTGATCAACACCAAGTTCTGAAATACCCAAACAACCCAACATCCAACACCACCAATCCGAAGATCCGAATCATCAACGCCCCTCCCGGACAACTCTCCGTTCAGCTCCCGCCTCCTTTGGAGAGGTCGGTCCCCAGCTGCTGCAACACCGCAGAACGCACCCCCACCCTGGCACCGGCCAACAGGGGATGGATCCAGTGGCCGAAACATGTTCATTTGTTAAGACCATGCTCTCTCTCTCTCTCTCTCTCTCTCTCTCTCTCTCTGCTGCTGTCCGAGAACAGTGCCCGCTAGCTGCGTGAAACAGTAAATTATCATGCAAAAAACAGCTGTTTTTGTTAAGACCATGGCTAGCTTGAAAAGGGAACGGCAAGGAGGCTTCTTCAAACAATAGGTTGCTGTTGGTTTTCTGCTTTTCAGCGGGTTGGCCCAACCCTTGTTGCGAGCACCCAGCCACCAAAACGCAGCAAGTGAGTGGAATATGCTTACCAAACTCTAGCTCCTGAGTTGGTCGCCGGCTGGGAACATCTCCAAGGCGCTTGTTCAAATGACCATCCAGAAGCCGCAAGCACGTTCTCAAACGACACAGGCGATACGAGCTGCAATGCTGTTCGTGAGGTGCATTTGTTGCAAGCCCTTGGAAACAAGAGCACTTGGAGAGAGTGCGTGTGAGTGAGTACAAACGCATGGCATCCCTGCGCAAAATGCTCTTCCGGAACTAAGCATGTGCATGTTCCGTTCGACGCCGAGAGGAAGCACTCTATTGGCAACTTTGTCAGACCCCTGACCGACCTATTGGAAACGGAAACCAAGATCCCTTTAAAGTCAGGAGGACCTGTTATTGCAAACGGGAGCTTGTTGGGCCAACAGAGTTCCCGCTGAGAAGAATGATGACCCTATTTCTTATTGTGTATGCGGGGGGATCACATTTTTTTCACAGGGTTCCTTTCACTGCAGCAAACCTACTCCAACCCTTCATCTATTGAGCATCGAAACCAGCACCATACTCTAGGGAAACCTGACAGGCTAGAATCCACCCCAAACAACCAAAAAGGGGGGGGATTCTGAAAACAGGTGTTCAGGAATTTCTCCATTCAGCCCCGTTTTTTCTCAGACGTCCGGGTGTTTTCAGGTCTTCCAATTCCACCCCTCCGGCCCTGGGACGTTGGATTTCGGCCGGCCACCCAACGTCCACCGACGCCTCGCCATGGCCCAAAGGATGTTCGCCACGTGCCTGGGCTCCAGCGTCCGCACCTCGCGCCGGCCTCGGAAAGCTCGGAGCTCGGATGGGGATTTTTCGAGTAGGTTCGGGGTAGGTGTAGCCTCGGATCTCGGAGGGGTATTTTTAGAGTAGGTTCGGGGTAGGTATAGAGTGGGTTCGGGCTGGGTGTAGGGTAGGTTTGGTGCGGGCGAAAAGGGTACTCCAAAGACCTGCTTCCTGTCCCGCTGACATGGCGTTAGGACGGCGCCCAGTAACTCACCTCAGTGGATGGGCCAAAGTCCAATGGCAAGCGGGAAACCAAGGAGGGAAACCAGGGGGAAAACAAGGCCTGTTTACCACTGTAACCCAAAATTGGGCTCGGAGTCGGTTTTAAGCATCCCAGACTCCTCCAATCTCCAATGTCTATGGCTGAAAAGAGCTCGCTTGATCCGGCGGGAGACTTGTAAGAAGACACCGGGGCAGAGGCGAGTTTTTTGAGGGGGAGGCCCGCCCAACGCGAACGGACATGCCCCAAGTTTGGCTTCCGAATCTTGGCCCAAAGGGCCCTACTTCCCCAGCATCGATTCCGTGGGTCTGGCTTGGTATTTGACAAATGGGGGTTCTCTGTTTTTGGCCCCCCCCAAAATGGCATCGTTTTCTTGGGCTTCCTTTCAAAACAACAAGGGTAAAGACACCCACATGTCACCATAGCCTTGGGACCGTCCTGTCGGGTGGCTGGGCGAGGGGGGGGATATATTGTCAAAAAAAAAAAAAAAACACGGTGTGGGCAATTTACCTCAAACCACACACCAGACTTCTCAGGGTTGCGCGCAAGGGGTTGAGATCAACAGCAAATGACACAAAGGAGCCTGGTTGAAAATTCGCATTTCAGATTGGTCAAGCAGCTGCTTGAAAGCTCTCATCCCAGTTGTTCACTGACCCTGGTAGAAAAAGCATCAAAACCCGTTTTTGGGCGAGGACCACTCTTCGTGGGAAAGCCACAACGAACGGTTTTTCAGGGTGCCACTGAACAATGCGGGGGAGGGGAGGGGAGGGGAGGGGAGGGGAGGGGAGGGGAGGGGGTTCTTACCTTCGAATTAATCCAAAGGCGCATACAAAAGCGAGGTATACCACTGGTGGCTTTCCTTTTGCTTCTCCCAAACCAACCTAAATCGGGCAACGAGCCTCAAGAAGACAAAGCCCATCTAATTACCTCCTCATCAAAACCCGCCTACCTCCATTTGTATCGGACAAGACCCCCTCATGTTTTGTTTACTTCTCAAAATGGATGTGGACCCCCCAAACGCGGTAGCCCTGCTTCTGTCTCAAGCAGGATTTGGACCCCCCTCCCCCAAACCCCCAAACACGGCAGGTTCGCTGTTGCTTCATTGGACCGCCCCCCCCCCCCCCACCCCCCACCCCAACCCCCTGGTAGCTTCGCCGCTTTCCAATCCATCTGAGATCCGAGGATCTGAGGCCTGGGCTGAGCTCCTCACACAGCGCCTGGAACCAGCGCGGCGAGTCCAGGCGCCAGGTGCCCAGTGACCAGCTCACGTTCGCCAGGTGCTGCCCTGGCTTGACGCTTCGGCCGCTTGGACGAGCCGCTTCGGATTTCGGGCGGCTCGGCGCGGCGGCGCGCTTGGAGCAACCCGGAATCTGGCCCGAAGAACGAGGAGTGCAGTTCCACCAAATGCAAACCTGGAAGAAATATCCGAATCCAATGAACAGGAATCCACGAAGTCAAGGCCGAAAGTGACGACCATCCGTCGTTTGGCGGTTTTTGGGGAAGGGAAAAGGAGGACCAAGGGGAAAATATCGGTTCCAACACACCCGGAGAACCATCGCCAGCCCGGTGCCGTCAGTAGAAGAAAAAGGACCAGGGGGTGCAAAGGGCAAATGGGCGACAGTGCCATTTGGATGTATGGAAGCGTGTCAAAACAAGGTTTGCAGATCCCATTTCTAAGTTATGCGTAGATAGACACAAAAAGGGTTCATGGTGGGGTGGGTCAATGTAGGGCGAAGCATCACCTTCGAACCGAGCGGCTCATTCGAACTCTGCTTCCGGCCTTCCCTTCCCTCCCTCTTCCGGCCTTCCATTTCGGGCGCGCGGTGTGTGGACAGAGCCGCCAGCCGCTTTGCCACCCGGTGTGGCGTGACCTGCACAAGGGCGTTTAGATACAAAGGAAAGGTGGGCGAGTTCCAAGACAAGGGCGAGATAAGGATCCCCCGAAGCCTCCAAAAACTGCTTAGCTCCTTCTCTGTATTTTTGAGGATCCTTATTTGGCTGGTGATTGGGCTAGGAGTAGCCTGCAAGAGCCAAGCTTGCAGTGCCCACCAGAAATGAACAGACCCCAAAAATCATATCAAGATCAGAATGAGGTCCTGTGCTTATACCACTATACACAAACAAGTGCTCGACTCGTCCGCAGGAAGCAGGAGAAGGGGAACGCAGCATGTGTGACAAGCTTGAGAACGAAACACCACCTAAAGGCAACAATTCAGCATGCCCCTAGGAATCCCAGTACACAAAACTAGCCCTGGCTGCTGAGTTATGGGACTTCTCAAAACCTGCACCATGGAGTTTGATTCCGTACCAAAGAATCCACGACTGAAACGACTGCAGTGAGCCAGGCCACGAAAGAATACATCTCTGCAGCGAGCCAGTGCAGCAGGGCTGGTTGCCACTGTGAATCTACGAAACCTTGAGGGAAACTCGATCTAGCTGGCGAATATGGGATTCCGTTCTTGCCTGGTTTCCTAAGTGACAAAGCTGGCTTCCGGGCAAGGAACCTAGCCGAGATTTACCCCCCGAAATCGAAGGGCACTTGCTCTTAGGGACCAGGCCGTTGATTCGGGTTGCTGGTGCCCCAAAAGGGGTTGCCGAAAGGCCCACCACCTCGCCTCATGTTCTGGTCCCGGGTGCAAAATGATTTCGGACCCAACTGCACTAACCAAGGCCAACTGCCACATTCCGTCTCAACCACAGGCAAAGGAGGTTGCCCTCCACGGCCAGGGGTGGCTTTCGGCCGCTGGGACGCAAACAAGCCCCACAGGGTTCCATTTGCTTTAGCCCCAGCAAGCGGTGGGTTCTCGTTTGGGAAGTCGTTTGAGCTCGTCTCGGGGTTTCCCATGATCTGAAAGGCACCACAGTAATAGGTACCGACAAATGGCTGTGGATCAAAACCAATGGTGCCATTTTGGGGTAGGTGCACCAAGCATTTTTAGTCTATTTTAGTGGGGATTGGGATGTTCACTGGGGGTACGGGATTTTGACCCATGGCCAAGTAGAACCCCAAGGCCCCCACGTCTTGCTCCACAAAAAGTCAACCCGGCCTTCAGCGAAGTCGACCTCGCCACGCTGGGGTTCGCAAACGAACCAAAGAATTGCAGGAGCCCAGGTCAATATGGGTGTATGTTTCCGCGGAGGGTACCCTTTCAGCTTGCTTTGAGGCGGAAACAGAAGAAATTCAGAACCAACACCTTTTTTTTTGGTTGGGGATCCAAGAACTCTTCCGAAAGGCATGGTGTGGTACTTGCAAAAAATAACGCAAGAGCGAAGCCTCGGCGAATGCCAGGAGGCATTCAACAGAGCTGTTCCAGGCCATGATGGCAGCTTGGAGGAAGCATCTTGATGTGCACTCGGTTGCGAAATCTGCTCTGCTAAAAGTTTAACTTTGGTGTTTTAATGGGGAAGTCATCACCCCAAACTGGGCTCGCCCGGGCAGGAATGCGGCGCCTCCCGGTAACACAGGGTGTAGCAACACGAGGTCAAGCAAGGAACATATCCAAAGAAGAGCGGGGCATGCCACAAGGGCGCCACAAAATGCCGGCTACGCTTAGGAAACGGAGGAGAATTCAGCTGACCAGGGCAGGTCCCCGGACGTCCGGCGCCGTGGAAAAACATGCATGTCCTTTTTTAGTTGTGCAGTAACCACCCCAGAAGGGCAACCTCCAAAAGACACGCCCATATCCGCCGACATAAATGGGACAGCAAGGGGAAACGAAGGTGTGTGTGTGTGTGTGTGTGTGTGTGTGTGTGTGTGTGTGTGTGTGTGTGTGTGTGTGTGTGTGTGTGTGTGTGTGTGTGTGTGTGTGTGTGTGTGTGTGTGTGTGTGTGTGTGTGTTTGTGTGTGTTGTGTGTGTGTGTGTGTGTGTGTGTGTGTGTGTGTGTGTGTGTGTGTGTGTGTGTGTGTGTGTGTGTGTGTGTGTGTGTGTGTGTGTGTGTGTGTGTGTGTTTGTGTTTGTGTTTGTGTGTTTGTGTGT